TGAGCCTTTTCAACATCTCATGACCACCCTACTAGCCTTAAAACATCATTCTAAGCAAGTTTGATGTTGAAGATTTTTCCATTTGAAGCTTGGAAGTAGGAGATATGGCCTTATGCTTGAAATGACCTATAACTTCCAAATGACCAAAATGCCCTTGGCTTGTCAAAGCCATAAGTTGAGTTCTACAAATCCTATCAAGGACTTATAGTACTCTATAGAAAGCTAAGAAGATGATCTTCAACATTCATGTTGATAAAAAGATTATAGGAATCATCCTACTAGGGCAAAAGTTGTCTGCAAGTTGGGTGACTTTCAAGGACCCAGATTCACATACCTCAGATGACCTGTAATTTGTCAAAACCATAACTTGAGCTCTGCAAATCCTATCAAGGACTTCCACCACTAAAATTAAAGCTAAGAACAATCTCTACAACATTCATGTTTTGGGGAAGATGAGATGACAATCACATCTTGAGCTAAAACTGCCTGGAAGATAGGGATCAAACTAGGGGATTTTACACTGTCAATCCTTAGAAACCCTAGCTTAAAACTTCTCAAACTCCTCAATCATGATGAGTTGGTCTAGGAATCATCCTTATAGTATATCAATACATCATTCCATGATCACATGGCCCTTGGATTAGGTCTCAACCCTCTCCAAATCATTAGTTGACCTAGGGTTGACCCAGTCAAACCCTAATTCTACCAGTCATGGTTGAATCTTCTGAATTCTTGCACAATGACCTCTCTGGGCTTCATGATGGCTTTCAAGACATCTCATAAACTTTATCAAAGCTTCAAGTCTATCCTCATAGTCTCAGAATCATCTGAGGAGCACCCACAACTCTCAAGTTATGAAGCACACAACCTTGGTTTCAACCAATTCTTCTGAGGATCTCTTAAGCTTTCTGGCAAAGGTATCAACATTCAAACACTTGATGGGTAAATAATTGTTGGTCAAATTTTGAGGTGCAACAAGGTGTTGAGAAACAAAGAAATTCCTCTTGTTAAGGTTCAGTGGGATGAGACACATTTGAGTGATGCTACTTGGAAGCTTGAGTCTGAGATGTGGAATGCTTACCCTCACCTTTTTCAGGTTATATTCAAATCTGAGGACAAATTTTTATTTAAGGGGGCGGATGTAATATCCCGTATTTAATAAAATGCTCTAAATAATATTAGTTTAGATCAACTGGATTCAAGTGTGCTCTGAGAGTTATTTGTTGAGATAATTGGAGTAACTGATGAACTAAGAGTTAATTTAATTAATATCATCTGACTCTGAGATTTTATTAATTAGTGCATTAGAGACTTTTTGGATACTTTTTTAATTGGACTTTTAACCAAGTTAGTCTTACTAACTTCTATTGAGATATTTTTAAATATCATTTTCTTTTATTTTCTTTATCCTTCCAGCTTTGTGTGATAAGTAGTAGAAAGAAGAAAATAAAATAGAAAGAAGAAAGAAAAGAAAAGATAGTAAGAGGAAAGGAGAAAGAAGAAAAGGAAGGAAAAAGAGAAAGTAGAGGTAAAGAAGAAGAAACTCTAGTAAAAGAGGAAACTTCACCATTCTTCATCAATCATCTCATCTACATAATCAACAACTTCTTCATCATCATCTAGAGGTGGATTCTAGATAGAAACCTAAAGTTAAGATTTTGGAGAGAATGGTAAAGGTTATGTTTTGTATATGTGAATCTAAATATTATATGAATCTTGAGAATATATGGTAAATAATATTTTTGATGCTATTTTAATGTTGTGTTTGTGTTTGTTGTGACATATATGAGCCTTATGAGGAGTGAGGTTTGAAACCCCTTTGGATTGAACAACTTATGCAGGTGAGAAGTTTTGGATCGCAGAGTTCACAGTGCGAGCTCTAGCAAACTGGAGACAAACGTGACAATCTTTCCTGCTCGCACTGCAAGGTAAAAGCGAACACTCGCCCAGAGTTTGCACCGCGACCTCAAGGCGAAGGGGCATCGTCTGGCCTTCACACTAAGAACCTGGAAGTGTTTTTCACACTTTATTTTGATGTTTGCTTTGTTTTTTCATATGCACTTTTGTGGTTATTATATATATTATTTACATTGATTATGATGAGTATTATGCATGTGTATTATTTGTGGATTAGTGGATTGACTAAAGGGATGGTTATATGATAAAAAAGAATTAAGAAAAGTGAGGAAAACTTATCACAATCCAATGGAATGACCTAGGGATGTAACTAAGAATTGATAGATAACTTAGATGACAATGTCGGTGCATTGATGCCTAGGTGTGCATCATTGACAAGTAGTTGTCTACTGGAGAGTTTATACATTATATGGAACATGTGTTGGTTTATGTTACTTTGAGAATGCTTATGTGGCCTTGCGATTGTCGAATACAATCATGTTTGAGTTGCGATCACGTAGTCGGAAACAATTTCTTGAGCTGTGTTGTTCCAAGAGTTGAAGCTTATGTAGAGCGCTCCTCCGGAATGTACACACCATTACTTAGACAAGTTTGATTCTTGTGTGTAGTACGAATGGAGCCTACGGGTTAAAGGCTTGAGATATGGGTGGTCCCATGGAAAGTGACGATTTATATGAAAAGTACCTTGAATCCAAATCCATTTCGTATGTCAAAGTACATTACAAGGATTCATGATCCGTGCCGAAAGTCCTAGACATAGGAGAGGACTAGAAAAGGGGATGCCTTTTTACGGTTTCCGATTAGTGATAGTTTTAGTTGTTGGACTCAAGTAATCTGTTTTCGTATAGTTTGTAGTTTGTGAGCCCAAGTCTTATCCTTTCCTTTTTGACTTGAGTTAGGATTTGTTAGAACCTTGTAAAGCCGAGAAAACCCATAAGATAGGGAACGCACTAGGATTATTATCTCACCTCATGTTGTTGATTATATTTCAGGAGGTTCAGGTTCCGTGAAGGATAATGATAAAGCAGTTTGATATCCTTACTTGTTTTGTCTTTTGAGATGACATTGTTTTTGCTGTGAAGACTCTATTTTAAGATCATTGTTATGATCTAGTTCTTAGTTGTTGGAGCATCTTGTGTATATTATGTCATTATTTTAAATTTTATGTTTTAGCATGTAATGTATGCAACGTGCTACTATAAACTTATTTGTATTTCAGTACCAAACTTACAAGCATGTATAATATGTATCTTCTAAACATATGTATTTATATGAGTGTTCCAGTTGGTATCAGAGCAGGTCGTATCCTTGATCTAGCCATAAAATATTATAAGCATTTCTTTCTGTTTCATATGTCTGCGGACATCATCGTTCTGAATGTTACATTTCTAGTATTGAGTTTGATCAAATTCATTCCATTTGTATAAATTATACTTCAGCCTGTTCAAATTCATTCTATTTGTATAAAATATACTTCAGCAAAGTAAGTATATACCGATATGCAAAGATTGAATGCTAGAGACTAGGAATAATATTAAACCATTGGAAATGTAAGCGGTTCATTAAAAGTGTAAGGGGTTCCATGAACTCAGGAGGACCGTGGAATGATAATCCAGTTCAAGTAACCATTGGAAATGTAAGCGGTTCATTAAAAGTGTAAGGGGTTCCATGAACTCAGGAGGACCGTGGAATGATAATCCAGTTCAAGTGCACTATGCTGATAATGTTCAATTCCCCTGTTATATATATATATATATATATATATATATATATATATATATATATATATATATATATATATATATATATATATATATATATATATATATATATATATATATATATATATATATATATATATATATATATATATATATATATATATATATATATATATATATATATATATATATATATATATATATATATATATATATATATATATATATATATATATATATATATATATATATATATATATATATATATATATATATATATATATATATATATAATGTATTATATTCACATAAGTTCAAACTAAATCTTATTTCTATGTCCAAATTATGCCAATCATTAGCTTGTAAAGTCCAATTCATAAACGATCAATGTTACATTTAGGATATGAAGTCTTTAAAAAGATTGGTTTGCCTAATCAAGTGAATGGACTATATCAATTAAAGATGGAGGTTAAACTCACAGACCAAATCAACCCTACATCAATACATGGCCTTAAAAACACCAACACCTTAAATAACACACAACACAATCATACTATTCTTGTATGGTATTTTAGGTTAGACCACTTATCTAGTCCTAAAATGTCTCATATGTTACAATTGTATCCATCTATTGCAAATGATAATAAATTTTTTTGTGATATATGCCCACTTTTCAAATCAAAGAAAAAATTCTGCTATAGTTAGTACTTCACATGTCAACTCAAAATTTGAATTATTGCATTTTGATATATAGAGACCATACTTGATGATTATAATAGATTCATTTGGATAATTATTCTAAAATTCAATGCTAAAGTTTCATCACATGTTCAAACCTTCATACAAATGATTAAAAATCAACACAAAATCAAACCTAAAACAACAAAGACGGATAATGGTCCTGAATTTTTCTTATTTACATTATATAAATCCAAAAGCATTTTATAATACTTTGCCTATACATAGCATATTTATAATGTATATACAAGTTAGTTTGTTACTTGTTAGTTAAGTTAGTTAGAGTTCACTAACTAACTTATTATTTTTTAGTTAAATTGGTTAGAGTTTGTTAGAGTATGTAATAATATACTTGACCATACACCATACCTATTATAGGGGACTATGTCTCTATATATAAACCAATAAAGTATAATTTGATTATATAGCTCCCCGAGACAAGGATGTGTCAATTTTTATTTTTGTATATCACAACTCAAGACCAAAACCCAAAATATACAAGAAAAAAAATAGAAATTATACAAATTACAAAATTAATGTCATCTCTTGTATCCCATGTTTTGAAAAATAAGTAATTGCACTAACAAAACCATATTGAAAATTGTGATAGTGAATGAGTTTGTGTTAGATATGCCTCCAAGGTCTTTCTGCTAGGCTTACACATTCACTATGTCTATAACAATCCACAAGATGATCAATGGTTAATCCTGCAGCTTGCATAAAAGAGTGCACTATCACTGGTCCTACAAATCGAAATCCACGTTTTACCATGTCCTTGCTAAGAGCCTCTGCTTTTGGACTCCTTAATGGCACATTTCTTGGGTATTTGTATTTGTTTATTATTGGTTTGTGATTAACAAAACCCCATATGTAGCTACTAAATGATCCACATTCCCTAACAACCTGTTGACAAAGATCAAGAAGTAACTAATTAGCAATCAAGGTGAAATTCATGGAAAGTATAATAGATGACCGCGTGCCCGAGACTCCCATTAGACGAATATAGAGGAAGATAGATGTATGCAATTTTAACCTCACAAAATAATGACCGATTTTTAGAATTTAAATTCGTGATATTGATGTCACAGTACAATCGTTACACATCGGAGAAAGAACTCCACTTGTGAATACTCGTCTCGTCTTTGACATGAAAAATCTATTGGTTTAGATTTTTCTATATATTTAAAGTTCGTAAAATTCGAGTTTGGAATGAACAGAATGAATAGATGTGCGTAAAGCCACACACATAATTTTTATCATTATATATAATAATTTATATATGCATCATAAAAATCACAATAAATAAATTTTCATACGTTTATATGTACGAGTTTGAGCATATGTGAAAAAACCAAATGATGTCTTCAATCAGATGGAATTTTTAAGGTGATTTGAGGTCGGGACAGCAAAATATGCCCTGACCCCAACCTGAACTTAGTATTGCATAAAAGCTCACCATCTAACTAAACTAATAAAAGAAAGAAAATAAAAGTGAATAGATATGGATTACGAACTTGCCTTCATTATGCATTTGGCATTGTCAACAATGCACATAACTCTACTATCAGCCAAAGAAAGTGCTTTGTTTGATGCTATCTCTATGATTTCCTTTTCCTCCATTTTGGCAACAATGTAAGGATCAAATCCAGCAAAAACTTCTCTACACATAAAAAATCATGTACTATATATGCATTATTAATTTATACAAAGAAATGAACATGCAAAGTATTATATAACATAACCTACAAAAATATTACCTAAGTGGTTCCTTTCTTTTTATGATTTCTGTCCAATTGTAGTCCATGAGTAATCCGGACATTGCAAGCAGCTCAAACAATTTGCTGTTTCATGATTTAATCAAATTAAATTAGACTAGACTCATACACTGACATCAGACATGATGCCGACACTGACACGTCGACACAAATAATAATTTAAAAATGTAAATAAATTGAATTCAATCATAAATATCAATGTCGTATTGATATAGGTGTCCGACACAAACACAGTTTCTTTCAGAGTGTTAGAGATAACACTTACTTGTCATCATAAGCCGGAACTCCCCAGCACTCATCATGAAATTCTATGTATAGCTTATCTGCAAATGATAATCAAAATTAACTTTATATAGATTAAAACATTTCCTTTTATTACTTTGTCAGAAATAACTAATGAAATTGAGCATACCACTATTTTTTGTGATCCAATTGCATCTTTTCAATTCCCCTGGCTCAGTAATCACTACTGGACTTGACTGTTGGTGTATAGTTTTAGCTACGGTTGATTCTCTTCTTTCATGTGATGAAGCTGAGATCAAACGAAGTGCCAATGAAATCTTTTCATCCAATGGGGTCAAAGAATCAGCTTGAGAAGAGTCATTTGAGTTTTGTGACAAAGATAATGAAACAGAAGATAAAGATAGTGAAGAAGTGCTTTTTTGAAGCCCTATAGGGTACACTTTCTTGAGGTGGTTATTTCTATTATGGAAAAAACTTTGGTTCAATATTTTTTGTGTATCTTTGAAACTTGGGCTCCTTTCTAAAGCTTGTTTTCTCACATTTGTTTTAGACATATTTGGAGGAAAAAAGGAGAAATTTTTGTGTAATTAATGAGGTGGATGTTGAAGTTGAAGTTGGTTGAAATTGATTAAAACTTAGAGGGTTTTAAAGTTAGTAAGAGGAATATTTAAGTTGGTTGTTGAAATGTGTGTTTCATGTACATGGAATTTTTTTGGTTCTTGGTTTTCAAGCAATATTTGTTTATAAGTCAATAGCATGGGGAGCACAATTCTATATTGTTTCCTTTGACCCCTTGAAACATACTTCCTATCTCTATTTCTAAATATAAAATCATCTTAAGTTTTATTTAGACGTTTTAAAATTTTCTGATGTATTGGTTATTTGTAACATACTATATTTATTTAACTCACATACAACTATATTTAATGGCGTAGAAAAAATTAATTAATTTCACTTTTGACTTTAAATTAATAAAAGAATTAACTATGATGTCTTAACATTTTAACTGGATATATGACATCAGCCTTCCCTCTCACGGTCCTCTTGTTGCTTTTGATTTTTATAAAATTTTCAATAAATGATATGCTTGGTGGATAGTGGAAGTTGGATCTTAGAAGATTTTACCTCATACCCCTATTCTTATATCTACACCCTTACACTCAAAAATATTGGATCAAAATATTCTTATTTAAATATTTATAATTTTAACATTTTTTCATTTTTACTTTATTTCCACTTATTTTCATTTCAAAACTTCCGGAGAGCTCTGCATCTATTTACAAACCGGAACTCTTCTCCCAACTCTTCTGGAACACATTTGATTTTCAATACATATCGAAACTCTAAGAGTAAATCTTCCGGTTTGTATTTTGTTTTTGTTTCTTCACCGGAACTCTTTCCTAAAGACTTCCGGTTCACAAACTTTTGAGTTTATTCACCGGAAATCTTTCCTAAAGACTTCCGGTTCACAAAATTTTTTGTTTCTTCTCCGGAAGTCTTTCTTGAAGACTTTCGGTTCATTATTATTATTATTTTTTTAATTTCTAATTTTATTTATTTATTTTTTAATTTTTAATTATATTTATTTATTTTCCAGTGGTGCGCGTACGAGGCAGAGATGGTAGGATCCCTCGTAGACTAGGACGGGGCAAGTCATCGAGGATGGCTGAAGAAGAGCATTTTGATGCATCTGCATCAGCATCCGAGCCGGTTGGATATCCAGGAGGATCGTATGATACATCTCTGTTAGTTAAATACGAACAGCATGTTGCATACCGTATATGGTTCGGTGAGGTAAGTAAACGAAAATTATTTAATATTGAATAGAATTCGAATTTTTAATATTGAATTTTATAATATTTTTACTTTTAATTTTTTTCAGGAGAGAGGGTCGAAGAAAGAGTTAAAGGTGGCGGGACATGGGTTGAAGTTGACTCAGAGGGTTCCACTACAGCTACCCAGAGAGATGGAGAGCTGGATATCTAGGTCTGGTCTAGCTTCACTTCAGAGAACCAGTTTAACAAAGATAGACACAAACCTAGTTTCCGCTTTTGCAGAGAGGTGGCATTTAGAGACATCTTCATTTCACATGCCGTTTGGTGAGATGACGATTACTCTAGATGACGTATCTTGCCTGCTTCACTTGTCCATCAGGGGAGTCTTCTAGAACCCTCAAGATATCAGTGTAGCGCTTGCTGTTGAGTGGGTTGTTGATTATTTAGGAGTGTCATAGAGAATAGCACAACAACAAGTCTGTGAGTGCAGGGGTTCCTACTATAAGCTGAAGTGGTTATATGATCGGTTCGTAGAGCACAAAGCTGCATCTCGATGGGATTATGCCACTAGAGCTTATTTGCCGATGTTAGTGGGTTCCACTATTTTTGCGGACAAGACATTTACGTTTGTCGAGACACGATACCTCTCACTGTTTATAGACTTGGATGGCTTATCAAGATACAGTTGGGCAGCAGCTGTGTTTGTTACTCTTTACAGATATCTCGGAGATGCTTCCATGTTCAACTGTAAGCAGCTTGGTGGTTATCCGACTCTCCTACATTTATTTATTTTAATTTAGTATATTTTGTTTTAATTAATTTTATCTAGTATATTAATTTTATTTATCTAGTTTATTATGTTATAATTAATTATTTTAAATTTTGTAACAGTGTTGGATTCATGAGTATTTTCCAACACTTGGGAAAATAGGAGAGAACTGGATACCAGCTAATAATGTGGGTCTCCCTCGAGCGATGAGATGGTCCTATAGGCAAGGTGCCTTGAAGGTGGATAACTTGCGGCCTATTCTGGACGAGCTAACACCTGCCGATGTCATATACAATTTAGAAATACTAAAAATAAATACATATCGATTAGTCATAGTGTTACCCAAATGTAGCACTCGATTAATCCATGCTCCAACAAATCTTTGTTTATGTGGTGTCAACCATGTGTCCTTCATATAATCAATAAATTCATTACAATCAACACACGCCTGTTAAAGTTGGTTCAACCTTTGATCATACTCAACCTCATCACTAGCCCATACAACATCCGTACATAATTCGTCAATTTTCTTTTGCATGTCACTAGCCACATATTGTTTCCGTTTTGCACCAACATTCTTGTTAATATGAAATCGACATAGCATATTGATCGACCTTGGAAACACAATTTCAATGGCTTTCATCAAAGCAAGATCTCTATCTGTCAAAATCACTTGTGGACACAACTCTTTCTTCACAAACAATTGTTTAAGCTTATCTAGCACCCAACAAAAAGTCTCAGTTTGCTCAGACTCAATATAGGCAAATGCGACAGCAAAAGTCAACTCGGTTGATGTCATGCCAACAATTTCAAACAAAGGTTGCCTATATTTGTCTGTCTTGTAAGTGTTGTCCATAACTAGAACAATAGGAAAAATATTCAACAACTTAACTGAATATGGATGAGCCCAAAAGATATCTCTAATTACTTCAGAGTCATCTCTTTTTCAACTCCAATAAACATAACTTGTTTCCTCAATAAGCTTAAACAAATGTTGTATCTCACTTCTAGGACCTCTTATATTTTTTTTTATCATACTCTTTTGTTTGTATATTTGCGTGATCCGAGTGACATTATCTGGATCTTACTCTTGCAACGAAAGCAATATATGTCTAGGTGGAACCTTTCTCTTTGTCAAATCAACAACATGTTGCTTCTGATCCGCTGTCAACCTACCGACAAATGCGTGACCTTCTAATCTATCAGGTAAATCGTGGTTATGAACTCCATATTTTACATCAATCTTCCATCCAGATCCATCAGTCGCTGGAATTGATCTGATTCTAAATGGACATCCACATTTTTTCGTCGCACTCTAGGTTCCACTATCAATATCTCTGTGTTTTCCTCCTTTATCACATCCAAATATTAATTTGTTACTTCTTCCTCTCTTGCTTGTTTTAATATCTGAACGAGTGATGATAACCATAACTTTATTTCGGATTCCGATCTCTTTAATCCATCTTATTACCTCTTCTCGTGTACCAAATCTTTGATTTGTTGAAAAAACATCAAACGTATCTACGCATATCTGATCTTTATCGCATATTTGTAAAAGAATTTCCGAAACCTCTTCTCGTGTACCAAATCTTTGAGTTGTTGAAAAAACATCAGATGTATTTACACATATCTGATCTTTATCGCATATTTGTAAAGGAATTTCTGAAATAATTACATAAAAAAATTCAAAAAAAAATTATAAAAAAAAAATTGGACAATTCAAACTGGAAGACTTGTAGCAAGAGTTCCGGTAGCCAAAAAAATAAACCGGAAGACATGTAAAAAGTCTTTCGGTTTGTTTTTTGTCTACCAGAACTCTTGCTACAAGTCTTCCGGTGAACACCCACGAAAATTACCAAACCGGAAGTCTTTTTTGAAGTCTTCCGGTACAGTATTTTTGTGAAAAGGAACTCTTTGTCCAAGTCTTCCGGTCTGAGAAAAAAGCCTACCAGAAGTCATTTTTAAAGTGTTCCGATAGATCGTGGGATGAATTTCTCGGAAGTCTGAAAAATTTAAAAAGTGAAAAAAAATAATAAAATATTAAAATATATAAGGATAAAATGGGTATTTTTTTAAAAATGTAGGGGTATGGGTATAAGTGCAGGGGCATAAGGTAAAATTTCCTGGATCTTATGTTAAATAATGTTATAGGATAGTGGAAGTTGGATCTTATGTTAGATAATGTTATAGGATGTGAAAATTCACATGTCTATCTAGGATTCTTTTGAATGAGTTTTAGTTTTTAATTTAAAAAAATTTAATCTCTAAATTATTTTTAAAAAAACAGTTTTCACAAATATATATATATATATATATATATATATATATATATATATATATATATATATATATATATATATATATATATATATATATATATATATATATATATATATATATATATATATATATATATATATATATATATATATATATATATATATATATATATATATATATATATATATATATATATATATATATATATATATATATATATATATATATATATATATTGTAATCTTAGTTTTTGATCTTAACTTATCAGAAAAGAATTAGCAGTCTGACACGTGTCGTGAGCTTCTGTGATCACCGGTGTCGTGGAGGAGGAGGAGGTATACCTACAAGATACTCCAATGCTTAAGTGAGTAACGGAGTTAGAAAGCGCAAGTATAGAGAGAATAGGTGTAGAGAATGGAATACCTGACCCTCTAGTGAAATAGGGTATTTATAATGTGCCCTCAGCGCAGGTCAACGATTACATTGCATTGGGCCAGATTGCCAAGCCCAACACAAATAACTGTCAGAGCTTACGTGGTGTAATAAAGACCAAAATATGGTCTTCGCCCTGGATCAACTACCATGCGATCTTCGGAAGGTGGGCTGAACATCTCTTTCGGAAGTGGATAGTTGCCTGATGACGTGTCCCCGCGTGGGGGACACGCGGAGAAAATGGGGAAAGCGCGTGATCTCTAGTGGTCTGCCCGACTGAGAGGACCTTGTTGAGACG